TCCAGTCGTAAAGAAGAACTTTTTTTCTGCAGTTCCAACCAAGACATCACTCTAACGCAATTCAAGTGGATCTGGTACATGGAATATGCTCACAGAATGTGGGGTCGTATGGTTGGAGCTGTGTTCTACCTTCCTGCTGCATATTTCTGGTACAAAGGCTGGTTTAACAGAGGAATGAAGATTAGGGTGGGAGTGTTTGGGGCTCTGATAATGTGCCAGGTAGTGATTGAATGCAATGGAAGATTTGTGTAACAGTAACATTTAGAATCTTATGATAGTGAAGTGATGGTCAAGGTGAGGTGGCATAATGGTTTGTGTGTGTGTATATGACTCCACACTGAGTGGTCCGAGTTCATCTTTGAGCCTGCTGGGCCAAGATCACACATGTAGGAGCTCATTGTTCTTGCATAATACATTTTACACAGCCTTGCCTCTCTACCTAACTGTGAACATCTTCACTTTTTGTAGGACCTCATTAGACAAGTTCCACTGCCTTCTTGCCTCCAACTTTTAATGGTTAAACAGACTTTTGGCTGCAGTGTATTATAAATACATTTCTCAAACTCAGTTATTTAATAATTTCAAATGATGGTGGCAGTTTGGATATGTGATCTAATTAGCATAGATTTTTATAATTGGGAAGATATATCAAACACTCAAGATGTTGTTTGACCACATTACCAAACACCTTGAAGTTCATCAAAAATACTCCACTACGCATAGTATATCTAACTATCCTCTCAGTGTTTAGAAATGAAGTCAAGCACGGTCTTTCATGCTTGATATATTACATAACCTACAAACTGGCAAAAACCATCATTTTGCTTTCAAGTACAGAAGACTGGATTTCAGATAATCTGCTAATAATATTTCTGTTAGCTCTAACTATGCATTGGCTGGACTGTAGGGTTTGTTAGGCTGGTACATGGTGAAGAGTGGACTTGACGAGGAGCTTATCAGCAAGACAGAGATCCCCCGTGTCAGTCCATATCGACTTGCCGCTCATCTTTCATTGGCTTTTATTTTGTATGCGGGTCTGATATGGTGTGGACTGAGTCAATTCATTCCTAGAGCAAGAGTAAGTTATGTAACTGTGACATTGTGCTTAGTTCTGCAGCTAATAGCCACAAGTGGAAATATATGGTGCACAAAAATAATGTTCTCCCTGGTCTAGTGAAGTTCAAGACAAAATTTTTTGTAAGAGTCCTACTGCAACTTACAGTACGTAATCAAAGAGGTGTTAGGACTTTTTTGAGTACCACAGCAGGGCCATAGCTTAAGTAATGGGCAAAGCGAGGCACTTGCCTCCAAGTCATTTTTTCCATTTTTGTTGTTTATTTAGTCATCATACAAAGCCTAAATACATTAAACGTTGCCTCAGTCATAATTTTTTCCTAGATATATTGCCTCAGTCATAATTTTTTATGTTCTGGCTATGGTCCCAGCGGCCCCTAGTGCATAAAGTTTTTCTTTAAGATTTTTACCAACCGGGTTTTGTTTCATTTCAGTATGTCTTGACACCACAAATGAGACGCTTCAGAATGTTTGCACACACTTGTAAGGGATTTGTTGGGTTCACAGCTTTTTCAGGTAATAGTTTTTACTCTTTCATGGTATTATGCTATTTATTGTATCTATAACAAAATTTTTGATCCTAATTGGTTCTCTGCATCCCTATTTGACATGTGATTGGTGCACAATCTCGTGGGTGTCCAATTACGGTATCTAATTTGAACTTTTTGTAACTGAATACCTGTAATTTGATACCCATGTGATTCCCACATCAATTATGCACTCATTTATAGCTTACTTAGTAATGTTTCCTACAGTTTTCAAAACTCATGAAAAGTGCTACTGACTTTTTCGCTGAAAAGGAGTTCTCAAAAGACATTTTTAATTCCAAAATTTGTTATAGATACAACAATTAATTAGGAATTGGACCTCATGTCGTACTATTCATGGAATAATCATGCTCCCAATTTCAAATCGGCCTCACGCTTCGCACTCATCTGATTTTGAAATTACTCATGGGATTACTCTCTCAATTGTACTCCACTCAGCGCAATTACTATTACTAATCACTATTAATCCTATTTTTTTAGCGTAAAGCGAACAGGGACAATCATTTTCGCTTGCATAAAAGATTTTGGGTTTTAGATTCTCAAGATTGAAGTGTACATAAAAAGAATAGGAGAACAAATTTTGGAAAGTTACAAAACGTAATATGCATATGCCATATTGACTTGTCTGGCCTCGCTGTCTGCTCAACCTCGATCGCAGGCTCTCTCTTATTTGCCTCCCGAGGATAAGGGAAGAGAGCCTGGGATCAAGGGTGTTGTCTCCTCAGATTTACTATCTTCTTACTACTAAACTCCACCCCTCTCCCCACAGGTGCCTTTGTTGCAGGCCTGGACGCTGGGCTGGTATACAACTCTTTTCCCAAGATGGCCGATCGATGGATTCCAACTGACTTGTTTGCTCTTGAACCAAAGTGGAAAAACTTCTTTGAAAACCCAACCACAACCCAGTTTGTTCACAGAATTCTTGTGAGTTATCACTGTTTAACGCTTAGCTCTGTAGCGTTAACCTTAGCCTGCCGAAACAAACGCTTACCTCCACGCCCTTATGAACTTCTCCTGCTCAAGAAACATCTAAGGTTTGGTTTGAGCTGCAAAATTGCCTCTTGATGACGTAGACCCGTGTAGCATCTGTGATTGGCTGAACATACTTACGCGCGAAAATTCAAACGTGAGCAGCAACCAATGGGAAGTTCAACCTCGTTCCCACGGACTCTCGGTGTGGAATTTTTAATGTTGAATCTGACGTCATCGCGTGTGACTAATTAGTAGTAACACACAGGCGCATATCGTGAAAATTTCGAAGGAGAACTTTTCCATCCGCTCCCCTTCGAAAGTAAGGGCCCTTTAAATGGAAGTAAGCCCGAATCTGAAGTTGGTTGAGAAGTTTGTGGTATATGCCGCCAAGTACCTTGATAGAATCGAGTGAAACAGTTTTTCAAGTCATCGGCCATTTCAGCCAAAAGATGAAAAATTTGGGAAAGTGTTCGTCTTTCTAGCGCCCCCACCCTCCCCTCCCCTCCCTCTTAGCGCCTCCCTAACTTTCTAGTGCGCTTCAACTGAAACAGTTTCATGAGTGTTGTCACGCAAAGCGTTCTCGCGTGTTACGGTGTTACGTGATAACGTGGCCTGTCTCTAGCATCGCGTGACAACCGGCAAAAGAACTTTTTCTCACGAAACTACCTAATTGTTGTTGTTGCAGGGAACTACAACCGTATCTTCCATCGCGATCTTGTTTCTTCTTGCGAGACCGCTGACATTGCCGGGTAGAGCCAACATAGCCTTGAACTGTTTGCTGGGAATGTCCGCTTTACAGGTGCAGTAAATTTCCATCCTTTTTACCTTATGCGTGTAGGTTAAGAAAATTCGGTGTTTAAGTTCAGAAAACACTAAGACGGCTAATTTTAAAAACGGCGTTTTCACTCGCATCAAATGTTTTCCGTCCACACTATGCCGGAGAAATATGAAGACGCAACAATCACTTGTCGCTTTGTGTTTGAGGAAACTGTGACTTCATTGTTTTCGAAAAGTCCCTTTTTCAAAATGCTTACTGTCCACAGTAAAAGACAATGCGGCGTTTTCAAATTCCTCCGGTTTGAAGAGCGTTCTTCAAAAGCCCCGTTTTCGTGACGAATTAGGCTCAACTGTAGAAATAAACTGAAGCTGTGGACGGGGACCAAGTTACCTTTTGGAGTTGATAAATAAAAAATATCTAAGGGTTTCGCTCCCTATTGCGTCAGCTTAACATCTTCAAAACATGCCATGTTACTTAGCAACATTAAAATCGAAAACCGCTGGCTTCAGGAATGCAGAGTTCAACTGTTTTTGTTTTATCGTTTTGATTCCAGGTTAGCCTTGGTATCGCCACACTGCTGTACTATGTACCAACCCATCTAGCTGCCAGCCATCAGGCTGGAGCTCTGTCGCTGTTAACAATTGCTGTCTGGCTCACTAACGAACTCCGTAAGCCACTTGTACCTAAGTAAGATGTGCTTGTGCCACAGGGAGCCCATATCGACACTGGCTATCCTGCGCGCGCTCTTGACGGTACGGCGAAAATTTCAACTACAATGATAAAATCAATGCGCTGGTTTCAAGACTTTATGGCACCTCCCAGCGATGAGGAGTGTTAAATAGAGACAAGTGAAGACGTCGATTCACCGGCCATGTTGGCACCTCTGCTATATGGACACTCGCTTGTGGCTCCAGGCCTGCAGCCATTGATGCGTAACCTTAGCAGTGACTTATCCGGCCTTTTAAAAGCTATTCCCGTGATTTAACGGACACAGAGGCCTTTTGAAACCCATCAGTTCTTCCTAAATTTAGCCCGCGTATAGCAGTGTGTAAAAACGTGTAGTAGCCTAGATTTCTTACATTTGAGTCTCGTCACAGATGTGTCCAGTTCACAGCTTTCTGGTAGTACTGCCCCACATCGAGCTAACAAAGTGTATTAAGGCTTTCAAATCAGTAGAATGTAAAAAAATACAAACATGAGAGTGTGACCACATTATCATTAACTTCATGGGGGGAGTTATCATTTTACTCCCTAAAATGAAACTTCTCACCTGTATTTTGACGTCAATATTTGTTCCTGTACCAAGGAAACTGTGTAGCCTAGGTTCGAAGATTTTGTTACTTTTCTGTACGTTTTATGAACGTTGTTATGGTTTTCGTGCGCTAAGAATTATGGGTAAATGTACCAGTCGCCATCTTTTTTCCTACGGAGGATTGGTTTCATGTGAGCGACTGGCTGCATAGACCTTTTCACTGTTTCTGACGCCATCTTGCTTGGGGAACAAACACAGGAAAAATTTCAGTAAATGTAAGGGAAAAGAAAAAGTTCGATCTCCAATAAGTTGAGAGTGATTGACCTTACCAGTATTTTATGAGTTACAAGGAAAATGTACCCAACAGAACGGTTTTTTGGGTCAAACTTAAAGAAGATTTGTTGTCAGGCGAGGAATTGTGCTTTGAATTTTTCATACAAATGTCTCTTAAGTTTTCCGCGAATTGCGACTTCGTTTTGCAGACTAACGTATGGAAAAATGAAAACCATAATTGTGGCTTTTCTAACGATGCTATTTTCCTCAAATGTGATTTGTAAATGCGTTTACCTAGTAAGTGAGTTGTTAGTAAATAAGATTCTCCATTTTCTCCAAGCATTTACTGTAATTTCTGATTTGCATTGAAAGGGATGTAAGTGATGTTGTGATAATAATAAAATGTTAGAAAAAAAAATAANTAATTTTTTTAACCTTACGTTTTGCAGTGAAAGGGATGTAAGTGATGTTATGATAATAATAAAATGTTAGAAAAAAAAATAAATGAAGTTATCGGCGAAGTCGGTACTCACGCCAGAAAATCCAAAGTTTTCCATTCTTTCTTGTCACCTTGCGATCGCGCGATAAGTCCTCCTGTCGAAGACTGGGTCCGACAGGTTATTCTTGTGTCCAGGCTTTTGTTTTCTCAGGCTGCGCGCGCTGTTTCTTGGGTGTGCCCCAATTGCTTTAGCATCACGGGAGTCTGCTTCCAAACTTGCACACATACAGAAAATAATTACACCAGTGCCGCCGCCGCTCCCCCTCGAGACGGAAGGGAACAAGGGGTGTGGTGGGAGTCCGAACCTATCCCTGACCCTCCTAAGGGTTATAAGCGCAGAAATAAAACAAAAACGCTTCCATGGGCTCTTGACGAGTTTCGTTGTGGTGGTGTTTTTAGAGCAATCATGGAATCTTCTATTTTTATTTTCTTTACATGCATCTTGGAAAAAAAATTGTCCATTTTTCAAGAGTAATGGTAACTACGATTTTTTTTCCAGGTTATAAATATTAATTTCTTTAGTGTTTTTCCTCTTTCAGAACACGATCATTGATACAGGCAAAATTTGGCTGTCCTAGTTTTGGTCTGAGCAATTTGAGCTGTCTCCACCCAGGTATTTGCAGTGTATAGCATCCATGCAAAATTGGCATATTTAGATCCCCAAAATTTCACTAAAGAAAACGACCCTTAACGCTGTCTTTTTTTTTTTTTTTTCTTTGAAAGTAAAGGTGAAAGCTCATCTGGTTTTGAAATTTTAGTTTATAACACTGTCTTCTTCTCTTAAGTTTCCCAGCTTTTTAATTTGGCGGTGCGCTCGTCTACGGATCGAGCGGTCCGGGTTCGAGCCCTGGCCTGGGATATTGTGTCGTGTTCTTAGGCAAGAGACTTAAATCTCGCTGCCTCAAAAATGCAATCTCTCCACCCAGGTGTATAAATGGGTACCGGCGAATTTAATGCTGAAGTGGTAATCCTGCCATAGCATTTCATCCAGGGGGGAGTAGAAATACTCCTAGCTGCTTCATGCTATAGAAACCGGGATAGGCTCCGGCCTGATGAGCCACTTGGCTCGTATGCAGATTTTACCTTTAATTGGAGCTTGAGAATACAGTCAGTGGCGTATTTACACAAGAGACCCACTACTAATACCAAGGACTGCAATTGTCTGTTATGTTTTAAATTCAGATCGCGTTATACGCTGATGCGATTCGTTTTACATGTACATGCAAACAGAAATTCTAGCCCAACTGATAGACGTTAAAATCAGTTGCGATTAGAAACTGCGTAGTTTTATGAGAAAGCCATTGAATTTCTTTTGGACGGGGTTTGAAAATATGTTGAAGTGCCCTAAAGCAATCTATTTCCTGCAAAACAGCCACCAAAAGTAAATAAATGCTAAGTTGTGTATTCAGGTTGTTTTTCTCTATCCATCTGAGTCGCCTGTTTCTCCAACGATGCCCTTCGCATCAAGAAAACTTTCGTTGAAACTGATCCGCATTTGGCCATTTCGATAAAATACTGAAATTCATTTCCCATCGCCTGCCTGAATTAGTATTTTAAAGTAGTAGTTATAGAATGATTGATGTGGGAGAGAGAAAAGACCAGATAAGAAAAGAGATCGTATATTTTAGTTGCATTTTATTCGCTTTGATATTATTAATTATATGAACGGTAGATAAGATGGCAAAAGCTGGCAATTGGCACCATGAAGTGCGTTTCATTTGTCAAATGTTTACAGAAACGTTGTCAAAATGTTTTAAAAAAACTGGGATGTTATTTTGAACCCACTTCCAGCTGGAAATGAAAGGGCCACACTCTTTTTTTATAAGAATATTGTTTTTTGCCGCCGAGGATGAATATTCTTAGTTTTCAGTCTGTCGATTTTAGGCTGAAAATAATCTTGTGACTATAATTCTTAGATTATAGCCATGACATTTCTGTTTTCGAATGCATTTGGTGTCTGGATGGCGTTCAAGTGAGCCAGCCTGAAGCCTGATATAATGCACAAAACGTCTTGCAATAATGTGCTAGTGTTGTTTTTGTTGCTTGTTGGCTAGTTTTGCCTTTTAAAGAAAGCTAGGAAGAATTTTTTTCACGGTATTTACAAACTTTCAGCACAAAATATATATTCTTTTTAAAATCTCAGCCTCGGGTTTGTTCTTAAAATATTCTGAAAATTTCGCAAATTTCAGCCTCGATATTCTTATAAAAATATTCTTATAAAAAAGAAAGAGTGTAGCGGGCAAGAAGCTCATTATCAAGGAAACTATTGATTCCAAAACAGCTGCTTATCAGCTGATCAGGTATTCATGTAAAATATAGCTTGATTATCACATATCAATTTACGGCGTTTCGAATATCTCACATGTGTCTCCATAGGTGGGATAAAAAAAAAAAGAGCCAGTGCTTTTAAAAATCTCAATAGGCAATATTTGCATAATGCACCTTTGAATAATCCTCCGCCTTTTTTATCACTTGTCCCGGCTGGTGAAATTACAGATTGTATGCCCACCGACCACCTAACGTTTTACCAATTACCATGGCCAGGGAATTCCGAAATTGAGCCTTCAAATTCAAGTTGGGCTTCAAGTTTCGCCTAGACATTGTTCTAGTTAGCCTAAACAACATTCTAAACAGCTTTTATGTTAGTCTAGGTAGCGCTAATGGTGTGCTTTCAATAAAGGTATAAATGGCGGCACTCCAGTCCCGCCTGACTAACTCGATTTCAACTCGATGAAAAAGTAAATTGCACCTTGGGAAAAATACCGCCTGAAACAATAAGTAAATATTAACCCTGAAAGATAACTTTCTAGACTGTTTTTTTGGATTTAAATGCAAATAAGTTTCTCTTTGTTATTCTCGCGGAACGGCTTGCTTAATTAACACGTAGAGTAGTTTGCGACGCCAGTTCAAATTTGCTTTGAGAAAAAATTAAAAGTTTAAAGTGGCTGGGAATATAACAGATGTTCCCGTCGTTGTTAGAATAAGGCGTTACATGAAGTTTTGCCAAGTAACCATAAGCGCTAGCAGTGCTGGCAACCGTTGAGACATCTTAGTACGCCTTGCGGGCCTAGCAAATTGTACCGTGGGCTCAACTTCGGTGCAAAACACCAGTAAATTCACCACTATAAGAGTCCGGACATTGAGGTGCGGGGTTAGATGCCTCCACAAACACGCTGAGATAATGGCAAAAATTTCATGGCTATCCATTCTAGTCTTTCTTTGCCTCTCGGTTCTCGTTTCGGAGACTGCTATGGTAAATATTCATCGCGCAATACCACGAAACGCAAAGCCAACAAGGGCGGACAACTCCAGCTGGTTTGGCTTTGAGGCGTGTAAATTTCTTCCCGATTTGTCGAAAATATTTGTGAAGAAAGAAGCTTGGCTGTACTCCATTCCAGCGACGATTCTTGTGGGAATGTGTGGGATATTTCCTCTGCTTGTAATACCAGTAGAAGCGGGACATGCTTTGAGAGAAGGCGGTGAGTCATTTTGTGATTTTGCGAAGAAATAACTTCTCGGTTCGTGCGCGAATTTGACCTCTGGGTGAAATGTTGCCACGGGTTTTCCTCACTCGGAAATCCTGAACGGCACAAAAGTGTGACATTAAACAGCAAGGTAGCCTTTCTGAAAGTTTGTGTCGAACTAGAAACTTGATAGAAAACATCTATTTAGAACAAGATTGCGACATAAGAAAAACCGATTGCTCCTAGCAAAAGCACAACGGATGAAAGTTATTTCATCAGCTGTCTTTTAATGAGTAACGCACTGTACACGTAATTTATGTTTCTCTTGAACTGTGAATCTTCAGTGTAAAAACGTTCCTTTCTGAGATCGGTGAGATGAAGTGAGCTTACATTTACTGTTGAAAGCGATCTGTGCATACAGCAGCAATGAGTTTATATTTCATTGAACTTTTGTTGACTTAAATTGTCCTCAAGTTTCTTTTATTGTGGAGTATTTCCCAAGGGTTCAAAACATTTCAAGCGAGATTTCCAATAACATGGCTCTTTTCTTGTCAAGGTGCGATACCTACAGTGTCAAGCTTATATTCCGTTGCGTCGATTCATGATAAAAGGGGAAAAATCATTTCCTTAGGGCAAATGAGTAAGCTTACATTATTAAGGCTTTCTTCGTTTGAAAGTACTAATCGTTCATCTTAAACTTAAGCTTACTTTTCGTGATTTGCGTTTACTGTACTCTCAATTCACCAGAAAGGCCGGAAATGCCAACTTCAAAGGTGCACACACACGTCGAACTAAAATGGTATCGTTCACGTCGAAGATTTTCGCCACACTTCTTGCTGTGTATCACGTATAGATATGTATCCTGAAATTGACTGTTTTAGAGTTTTTTGGCTCATAAGCTATGCAATTTAACAAAGGTTAATTCATACATGCAGTTATATTTATCAGCAGATCTTTTAGAATACAAGCCTTGTCTTGTAAACGTTTTTTTATTTGATTCTGACTTGTTATTTCCACAAGAAACTGATTTGCATTTCAATTAGTGAAAGTTTATTTGAATATGAAAGAGATCAAGGATAATGTCTAATACAAATTGAAAATATATTTAGATTTGTTTTGATTAAAGAAACACTCACATACAGTAATTTCGTACAAGAAAATGTAGCACAAACCTACAGTATAACATAAGGTTCTGTGAAGCCTGGTTAATACAGACCCCGAGGGGTACTAATGTGTCAGTATTAAGTGGGCTCTCAGATTAAACGTCAGGCACATGTTTTTCTCAGGTAATTAAAAGCAACAGAGCAATGTTTAATGCCTTGATTGAATATCCTTTCATTTCCCAAATCGATTTTCCCACTACCCAGTCGAGTCGTGCGGTAAATTTATAAGAAAATAAAGCAAAGATAAGTTAGGATGCATTTTCAATATTATTGTGTGTTGTAAAACCAAAACCAAACCAATTACTTACCAATTAGACTACTCAGCCAATCTCAAACCATGGTAAAGCCAAAACCAAAATGTAATTGCCTGATTATTTTCAAGACTCATTTGAAAACCACCGATATGTACATGTACACCTCAACAAAATATTAGTATGGGTAATAAAATGGCAATGGGTGAAATAAGGAAGTAACTACATATGTGTTTTGCCAAAATTCTTATAATTTCCCAAACCTTTTGGCCAGGGAAATAATTAGAATTTTGACAAAATGCAAGTGAAATTATTTCACGAGTATACCATTTGATTACCTTTTAATATCATGGGTGACAAATTACATGTACAATCCTGGGCTTTTGACTTGTTAAACGTATTGAGAAATTTTGTACCAATTGTTGCCATGACAATTTTGTAATTTTGCTTGGGAATTAAATGCTAAAGTTTTGCACCAAAATTGAGGAGTAATAAATTTGTCACCCAGAATATAAATTAAATAATTTCAAGCGAACAGGTCTTGATATGTCTTCCATGTGACTGCCTGTTTGACTTCACTCACTCTAGAAGGTGTTGAATTAATATTAAATGATGTCAGTGCTTTTCATAAGATTTGCAGTACATGGCTTCCCTTGGGGCAATACCCGTCAGAGAGCAATAAGCTAAAAGAGGTCCAAAACAAGTTCCCCTGGAGGGCCAGTTAACATTGCCAACATCAGAGCTGGTGATTCACAAATTTAGATAACTGTACACGTACCTGTCCGAGCTCTGGCATGTACCAGGTTTTAGACTTACTGAAAGTTATAGAATTTAACTAGAGCTAAATTTAAGACATGTTACATAATCTGTATTTGGATGGTGTCAAAGTGGCATGCACTATGGCCAGCTACATGTATGTACATTATGTGCATACTGTAGATCCTATCCTAGTTCCTTATATAATAGGCTCTATTATTCTTATCAGTAATAGTAATTAGACCGCGTGGAGTACAATTCAGGTGGTAATCATTCAAGCATTAAAGCAATTTTAAAAGCAGCCGAGCGTGAAGGTTGAAGCTGATTTGAAATTATGAGTACAATTACTCCCTAAATTGTATGATACAAGGTCCAATAACTAATTAATTGTATCTGTAACAAATTTTGAAATTAAAAATGTCTTTTGAGAACTTCTTTGAACAAAAATTTTTTTGCGCTTTTCAAGAGTTAATAACTGTATGAAACATCGAGAAGGAAGCCATTAAAGTGCAAGTAATTGACATGCAAATTGTGTAGGTATCAAATTACAGGTATCCAATCAGAAAAAGGATACCTGTACTTGGACACCCACATGATCATGCACCGATTATGCGACAGCACGCGGAGAACCAACCACGATCAAGAATTTTGTTTAAGACGTGATTAACCTTGTACATGTAAATAGCCAAGCTCACCATGGTTCTCCCCATTGCTCTGTTGTCTGAGTACCTTGCACCAATATCATATCTGGGAGATCACAGGGTCAAATCCTATTGGGGACAGATTTTTTTCTTTGCTCAACACTTGTGACATAAATATGAACATTTCTGCTTTATTGTTACATTGCACATGTAGTACAGTTGCTTCCAGGCGGTGTGTCTACTTTTGGTCTTAGGCTATTCCACAAACAATTTACATGTACCTCTGGTACCTGGGTTGAGAGGGAAACTCTGAAAGACTTGTAATTGAGTGTTATCTCCAGTCACACACAGTTTTAAAAGTAAACACCAAGCTTGAGATCGAGAGAACAGTGCTGTTCTCATTAGGTCAGCAAGCTGTCCACAACTTTTATACCACAAGAATACAGCTAGCACAGTATCTACATATATCTTATTAGATGTTTTGGTGTGTATTATCGCTGTATATTTTTACGAATTGTGCTGTATTTTGACAAGCCCATGGGGCGAGTCAAAATACAAACAATAAGTAAAAATATAAAGTGATACTACACACCAAAACATCTAATAAGGGATTTGTTATCCAAATATTGTGGTCAATAAATTTATCAATGAAAGAAGGAGAATGTGACAGTTTTGCGTGTGCACGCCGACCTGTACGTACGGCAAATGTTTTCTACGGTACAAATAACTGTACAATATTGCTGTATATTTGTACTGTTATTTGGATGGTATTCGGTGTAGTTGGATACTAAATGGTTAATATCAATGCTGGTTTTGTTATTTTTCAGTCACTGCTGACCACCTGAAGTTATTGTTAAGCTTTGCTGTTGGCGGCTTACTAGGAGACGTGTTTCTTCATCTCTTACCAGAGGCATGGGCTCATGTTCATGACGGTAATATTTGTCATATTGATATATTACTGTACAGTGTACGAGAAACATTTTAAAATAAAAACTNAGAAAATGTTAAAGTGAGTATTAATAAATAAATATTTTCCATGTTACATACATTATACATGTACATGTATCCTTCAGTGGAGGGAGAGATTAGAGCATGTCATGTTAACTGTACACTCCTGTTCCCTGTTAGCTTCCATCCTGCTTAAGCAATTGCTTCTGTGTTTTAGTACATAACATGTACATGTATGCACTACCTTTAAAATTACCTTTTTGCCACTAATTCCTGTCTTCTCATAAATTTCTCCCAGTGGGCACTCACTCAGACAGGCTCCCTTAATTTTTAGTCTCCCGTGTTCCTGCACCCCTACAGGTGTTTTATTGAAATGTTAGTATACACCCTGTACTAGACACTTGGGAAGTTACATATTATACTTACCTTCAAATTTTCACCTTTAATGGATGTAAGATAATCCAAGGCTACATGCATACTGAATGCAAAATTTAGTGAATGATGTTATTGATAGTATTTAGTTATAAAACAAATTTACGGCACACTGTAATACAGTACCACAGAAATAAAAACACTGACAAAGTCATCCAGTACAGTGTACATGAGAATTTGATCTCTGGAGTGACTCAACCAAAATTTTGTAATCTTTTGAAACACTGTAATGTTATAAGTTTTTTTAATGCAAATAGACCATATTTGTATTCTCAGTACTGGACGGAAACTAGCCTGCAGTGTAAGCTGTTATGGGGGAATATCATTAAGAAGAGATTTGAAAAGACTTCCGATATTAGCCTTAGTTGCAAGCTAGTTCCAGTCCCAGGTTGTCATTAATTTTTAGTCACCTGTAGTCTTATTCTCCACACCTGTAGCAAATTTGTTACTTTGTGGGTGAATTCTCTAAACAACAGGGAATTTTACCCGTAGCATCAAGGGAAAATCAAGCATACTCAGCTGTAACAGGTGTTATGGCTTACGGCCTTTAATGACAGCCCTGCAGTCCAATGCCGAGAATACAAATATGGTCTTTTAAAGTCAGTGTAATTTATTTATTTACGGTAGTTATATATTTTGCATTTTTTTTGTTAGTGTGCAATGTATGTCAGAGTATTTACAGTAATTTAAGTACCACACATTTGTTGTGTGAAACCTAACAAAAACTATGTTCTTGCTTCAGGTTGTGGGTTATCTGAACCTTTTAGCTAATTCCATAGATAATTTTACTCATGGCCTTGCTGTGGCTGGAAGTTTTATTGTGAGTACAAAGGTAAGCCTTGCATTTAATGCTGAATTTAATTAGTTGTGACATGTCTCTTTGTTTTCAGTTTAAATTTAATTTCAAATATTGACCACTCCCCAAGTGGGGTTTTCAGTGCCAATGGAAACAAATGACGAAACAAATTCAATGTAAATGAACATAACATGGTTAGAAATCCCAACTGGCTGGAGGTGGATCGATGGACTAGTTGGCTGTTTACAATTGTGCCCATGGCGTTGAACTCAGGACTACTGGGAGCGACACCATGCAAGCTGGTGGTCAGAATGGGACTTGAACC